TTTTTTTTTTTTTTTTTTTAGACTTTACAACAGTATAAAATGAATGGCGCGAAAATGACTTTGGAAGACAATTCTGCTCAGGTAATTTTTGAGTATCGCTCATTAGCTTGAGGACGCAAACTTTATTAATTACTTTTCGCAATAATGTTATTCCAGAACGCGAGCAAAATAAGCTCAACGATTGAAAAGGTAAAACAAATTTGCGAAAAAGAAAAGTCTACAATCTTGACTTTGATGCAATCAGACATGGAAAAGATTGCTATAGGTTCCTCTTCAATGTGGGTTCAAGATTTCGAAAAGTTTACTGAGGTTTTCATTTTTTGTTTACACCTTTTTTATTGTTTCTTAAAAACATTCTGGCATCTTAGTAAGACATGTAGAACTGTCATATGAGTATATAACAAAATTTATAAATTCTTGTAGGATAGTATCTAATGATAAAGATCGTAGCTTTTAAATTTTCTCAATTAATCTGCTATTAAAATTACAGGAAATATTATACAAAACTGAAGAAACTTTATCTGAACCTAGTAAAATTCAGTCAAAACTCGAAGAATGCAAAAAATTCCTTTCTACAAAAATTGAGCAGGTATCTTTGATAATTATGGTGCTTTTGCAGTAACAGATTCGCTTAAAAACAACTAAACCATAGCAGAACACAAAACAGATTTTTGTCTTTGATCTATGTAGTCTTAAAAATAAAAACATAAAAATTTATGTCGACGTTTATTAATCACCAAAAAATATGACAAAACACCCCAAGAAGTGTAGATAATTAAGACCGAGAATCTACCCAAAACAAAGTTTTTCTCCTCTTTTATTTTGTTGGCTCTATCTTTGTTATTGCTTGTAATAAAACACAGCTGTATTTACTTCTATTAGAATTTATTATCTTGGTCGACATAAAAAGGTGGCCACCAAACTGGAAAAGCTTTGAAATCTCCCCAATTGCAAAGCAGAATTTAAGAGTATAATAAAACAGTTTGCTGGTTTTTTTCAACTCTCAAGTTATCGTTGCAGCAGCTCTACCGATATGGAATGAAGAGTACGTCAGCAAGCCTAGATGACCTTTATCGTCTGGTAAGTTTTAATAAAAGACAGTCGAGAATAACCCTCTTTAAAACTTTCTTTAAGAAGCGTTCTTGGAGAAATTTTTTGGAGCTCTTGTCGATTGACGGCTCCATAAATATATTTGAGAAAGAGCCTCAAAGGAGGTCTGTCCTTCTGGCAAGCTGCGACTGAAGCGACGTCGCTGTCGT